CCCCAAAACCCCAAAACCCCAAAACCCCATGATTGAAATTTAAAAAAGTTTTAAGGAATCACTGACATTGAAATATAAAAAATGATAGATGAATACAGAGTAAATATAATTGGATCTAAATAGAATTAAAATTATTGCAAATTAAGTTTAATATTAATGTCGATGTAGGTTTAACTTATTTGATATAAGTTAACCATAATTTTTGACCCTTCGTAAAAACTCAGGCTTCAAATGAGGTTTTTGAATGTGTTTCATACTATCAATCATCTTATAGAGCTAAAATTCTATTTATTTCTCTAAATCTCTCGATTTTGTGTAAAAAAGAACTACTAGAGTGGTCTTTTTTTAGTTAGATGTCAGTCGATTAAAGATAGGAAAGTTATAGAGATTATATTCCTATTTGATATTAAATTTGTCTTGTTATTGATTGCTCGTATTTTTCAAAGTCAAATTTAAATCCGTCAAAGGTTTATTCCTGTAACCTTTATCCAAATGCTTCAATTAACTTTATTTATTACGTGGAATTATTGAAATCTGTGATGTTAGTTTGTCTTATATTTTCGACGTCTTCCCTATAGAGTACCATAGAAAGAGGTTGCATATCCACAGATTGAAAATTTTCTAAATAATTTAGGCTGGCCCTCTCTCGGCGAATTAATGCACCGTCATTATCCTTGGAGATCGGTTTAATTCCGCAAGTTCTCTTTACTTATTCCTCTGGATTATTCTCGAAAGGATTATCTCTTTCCAAAGCCAAATGATTTCTATGAATTTATCTCCCGATATCGACATTCTTGAGCCTGAACCTAAATGTCTTTTTAGTAGTCCTTTTTTCTAGCAGATAGGTTTGATTAACTGCTTTCGCATTCGGATAAGGTATGCCTACTTCTGCTCCTGCTTTTTTAATTGTATAGTTGTTCTCATATATTAGTTTAATCAATTCTCTTCTTTGTTCGTCGGTAACTCTTGTGTATTTTTTTACCATTTCGTATCAGTTGTATAGTTAGTTAATGATATACTTAGACTTTAAATGTTTATAGTTTATTTTAGATTTAGAACAACGCTTATTAAATAGTATGACTAACTATGCTTATTAATTTTTAATTGGATTCCCGTTAACAATAATAACATTAATATTTACAAAGTGAAATAAAGTAGGTAAATTAATAAACTACTTGATTATATTAACTTCCCTAATCTCTTAATTCAATTTACTCGCTCCTAACGGGGTTTTGGGGTTTTGGGGTTTTGGGG